TAAGTGTGTTCTTCATTTTAAAAAAATAATTAAGTGTGTTCTTCATTTTTAAAACAAAATCCTAAGTGTGTTATTCATTTTCAAACAAAATCCTAGGTGTGTTCTTCATTTTCAAATAAAATCCTAGGTGTGTTCTTCATTTTTAAAACAAAATCCTAAGTGTGTTATTCATTTTCAAACAAAATCCTAGGTGTGTTCTTCATTTTCAAGCAAAATCCTGGGTGTGTTCTTCATTTTTAAAACAAAATCCTAGGTGTGTTCTTCATTTTCAAACAAAATCCTAGGTGTGTTCTTCATTTTTAAAACAAAATCCTAAGTGTGTTCTTCATTTTCAAACAAAATACTAGGTGTGTTCTTCATTTTTAAAACAAAATCTTAAGTCTGCTCTTCATTTTAAAAGCAAAATCCTAGGTGTGTTCTTCATTTTTGAAACAAAATCTTAAGTCTGCTCTTCATTTTTAAAACAAAATCCCAGGTGTGTTCTTCATTTTCAAACAAAATCCTAGGTGTGTTCTTCATTTTCAAACAAAATCTTAAGCCTGCTCTTCATTTTTAAAACAAAATCCTAGGTGTGTTCTTCATTTTCAAGCAAAATCCTGGGTGTGTTCTTCATTTTTAAAACAAAATCCTAGGTGTGTTCTTCATTTTCAAACAAAATCCTAGGTGTGTTCTTCATTTTTAAAACAAAATCCTAAGTGTGTTCTTCATTTTTAAAACAAAATCCTAGGTGTGTTCTTCATTTTTAAAACAAAATCCTAAGTGTGTTCTTCATTTTCTAAAACAAAATCCTAAGTGTGTTCTTCATTTTTAAAACAAAATCCTAAGTGTGTTCTTCATTTTTAAACAAAATCCTAAGTGTGTTCTTCATTTTCGAGCAAAATCCTAAAGTGTACTCCTGTTTTCCACGAAAAATGCTCTCATTTTGCGCACAATACAATTAGTGCATAACAGGTGTGATGGTGTAATAGGTGTAACAAGTGTGATGGTGCTTCATACCAGTAGGTGTATGAATTAAACATCATTTATAATGCTTGAATCAAACTACAGCACGTTAAACGGATGTCTATATCCATTGTAAACACACCAACTACTACCGAGTAACCCTGGTCAAGACTAGGACATTCAAAGTTCCATTGGTTGAAGTCGTCACTTGGTCCATCCTCTAAACTCGGTGTGCTCGTGATCTGCTCGCAGGTCGTGTTGTCCACTATCCAAGGTTGCATCAGGTGGACACACTTGAAGTAGTCCATGCTGGCGAAATACCACTCGTCGTCGTAGAGGGCTAACATGTAGAAAACAACGACAGTTTATATTATGTGTTTTTGTTTGTAGTTAAGCGTTCTAAACAAACTGTAAATGATCATCATAAAAACAGAATACCTTTCCACCTTCTTCGTCAAACAAAAAACTTCCTCCATTATCAGCATTTTGAAATCCATCAAAAAATTTACGACATTGTGAATCTAACTTTTTTCGTTTATACGTTAGATAACTAATATATATATATTATTGATTTAAAAAACCGTGGACGTTTAAGATGAATCCAAGACAATATATATATTAAATTAAATATAACCTGCCTCTTTGTTTAATAAAAACATGTCATGGTCTAAAAAATTATTTAATTTTTCGACTTTACTTTATTTCTCAATCAATAAAGATGTTACGTACCAGTGACCACGTGATCTGGTGGACAAACTAACTCTTCCCTTGTTGAGAACATTTGTGCTTGTGTCGTGTCTAGTAAAGGTGCTTCAAGGTCATGAATGTGAAGACACTTGAAATAGTCAATATCAGGTTCTTCCGAAAAGTTGTTATCCCTGAAAAGAAACGAACGTTTTTTATATGTTGCTGGTTTAGGAATGTTTTCACATCTCCCGTGTTTTGTTCTAGCCATCCAATGAGTTATCTACGCTCTGCATAGGGAACTATCCGAAAGTGTAAGAGTTTGAAAATCATTTCACTTTTTGCAGGTGATCCTATGTGTTAACTTCTTAATCATGACTTACGTTATGCATATGGTGAGGATCGATAGCCGTTAATTTTACATCTAACCACCGAGGAAAAATGAAGAAAATTCGTTATTCTTCTACGTTCTTGTAGCTCATTGTTTGTGTTGGATATTCGTTATTCTTCTACATTCTTGTATCTCATTGTTTGTATTGGATATTCGTTATTCTTCTATATTCTTGTATCTCATTGTTTGTTTTGGATATTCGTTATTCTTCTACGTTCTTGTAGCTCATTGTTTGTGTTGGATATTCGTTATTCTTCTACATTCTTGTATCTCATTGTTTGTGTTGGATATTCGTTATTCTTCTACGTTCTTGTAGCTCATTGTTTGTGTTTGGATATTTGTTATTCTTCTACGTT